CACCTTTTTGCCCAAACCTAAACGGATCGGGGCATATGTAGAGGTATCGCGTCTTGAACTCCTTGCAGAAGCGCGTGAAGTTGATGCTCTTCTTCTTCTTGCCTCCAGTCAAGGGAGCGCTTGAGGTAATGTGGAGTCTTCCCTAAAATTTACGCTTTGCCCTGCCAGAAACCCAAAACCCACCTTCCCCTATTATGCTTTGAAAATGCGGTCATCACCGTTATGGGGTCGATGGGGCAAGTCTGGCTTGCACGCGAGAATTGCCAGATTCATTGTAGGTTTAATCTTTTTCAACCTCATCAAGGTCGAGCCCCCATTGATTTTTGAGCATATGTTCTCGAAGGCTTGGCAGAATTCCTGTTCTCGCCTGTCGCCGCTGCATTTTTCGTTGTATTCTGTTCCAGTTCACAAGCAGGCTACCTGTAACAAAGGGAGGTCTGGAATGCTTAGGTCAGCTTAGGCCTAGCTTCAGCTCAGCTTTGCTTAGGCTTTTAGGCTCCGGCCTCAGCTTTTGTATGTGGTGGCCTTTAGGCTTAGGCTCAAGATTGGCTTAGCCTTAGGCATAGGTTTCATTTCTAGGCTTAAGCTTAGGATTAGCCTAGGCTTGGGCTTAGGTTTAGAGCTAGGTCTTTGGTGAGCTTAGGCTTAGCATAGGTTGGCTTCTGAATTTATTCAATCTGCTTAATCTACCTTGGCTTAGAAGTCACTGTAGGCTATCGGAGTGATTTTTGCATACCTTATCCTGTTCCGCATCCGGATCTGCGCCTGTTCTCTTCTTTCCACCCTCGCAGGTGCCGTCTCCGGGTCCGATCTCTACTTTTCTGAAAAAGAAAAATGTATGCCTCATCATTGTCGGATTTCCAGGGCTTTGCCTCAGAAACTATTTGTTCGGAATTCTTCGAGGGAGGCTGTATCCCTGATGGGCGAGGGGCTCGGGAAAAAAAAAAAAAAAAGGCTCACGCGCAAAACGGCAACGATGGGTCCCTTCACAGCCCATTCCGACGACATCTATGGCGGTTTCTGGCGAGGGCATTTACGAGAAGAAGAGTCATTGAAAAACGACGAATGATCATCTCCTCGAAAGGAAACCGATTTCACAAAAAACTGTATGAGTTAAGTACATACTGAGATATAAAGGTCGGCAACGGTAAGCATTTCATTAGCTATCAACGCAGTGGCGCTGTCACCCCTTTTTAAGTACGTCTAGCTACAAACGACACTAAAAGTTACTGTACACCTGGGAAACATAAAACTTTCTTGCCTCTGCCCCACGTATCGCCAATTTCTCGTCTCAATCACTACAAATAACATTTCCCTCTTTGCGAGAAACGAGACGTGTCGAGAAAACGGGATTTCGTAGACAGAGTAGCTTAGTCTTACTGAACAAGATTTGCGAATTCAGTCATTTTTCAAAGGTTTTCGGGAACGGCTGTATATCGTTGGGATCTTTCTAGAACCTTTGAGGGGTACAAAGCCTCTAAAACAGATATTTCGGGGGACACATTTTGGTTCGTTTTCGTTAGGGAAGCGGAGCACAGAAGGGATTATTGGGGAGGCATTTAGGTTTGGGAGGTAGGCTAGCAAATATACTTTGAGGAAGTTTATTAGCAGGATCCCTAGGAAAGAGGTTAGCAGAGATTCTTAGGCACCCCCAAAGTTTCGGCGGGAGAAGGCAAGCTAGCAACGATCCTTGAGGAAATGGGAAAGATAAAGTAGATCGTTTAAAAGTGGGAAGCGGTGAGGAGCATTTAAAAAGCAGGCTGGCTGGAGGGAATTCGGACAAAGAGCAACTCGGCAAATTGCTAAGGTCCCTGTAAAAAGGCTAGAAGAGCCCTTAGGGGAATGGGTCGAGAAGTCCTTCTCTGTGCTAAAATCACTACATATTACTAAATCTTAATAGATTTATTTATCTTAGGCCGATAATCATGCGACGACTATCTGGTAAATATTGGATTGAACAAGTGATTACCAGCCTAATCCATAGGGCGAGAGGCGGTAGAGGAGGGTCTGTCTGCAACGAGTTCTCGAGGAAATGGAAAGTGTGTCCTCCTCCCATTTTCGGGCCATTCCGCTCTCCCATCACGCCGCCAAAAACGGACACAATCAATCACCGGTTGGCTGGAAGGGGTGACCTTGAGGCCGGGAATAACAACACATATCTCAATCGGCTAACGCCCAGGGGGGTTTAGAAGTGAAACTTGATAACTGGATGAAGTTGCTGGAAGGACCAGCAAGGCATGGCTTGTACAGAGTGTCCAAAAAAGCCCTCCAGCGGGCCGGGGTCGAGTCCGATTCTTACGATTTAGCTATTCATCGAAAGCCTCGACGAGCTGGAGGATTCGCAATCTGGTTTCTAATTTTCGCAATACCTGAATGTTTTGGCGCGATTTTCGACATTTTATGCCAAAGTTACACTATTTAAAAAAAACTCAACTTCAGGTCTTCGTTGCTATCCTGGCTTCTTTACAATTTTGACGCGTTTTCCTTTTATGATGTTTCCCAACGATTTGCCCAGCAGCCCAACGACAACGATTTTCGATAGCCATTTAAGGAAACACAACTTGTATAGTGCTTAAGAATCATCTGACGATCTAATTATGTTTCTAAAAGAAGTTGTATTTTTTTGCAAGCTGTACAAAGATTTATCATCTTTCCACAGCATCTAACGGCTGCCGGTCATTGAATCAATGTGGGGCGACTTGCCAAATATTCGGCCACTTTGGGCATCGACTCTGGCCATCAGTGTGCTCGGCTATCTGGAATGAGCGTGTTTGAGCTTAATGAAAGTCGGACCTTGACCAGCCATCCGTCAGCTCGGGGAATTCAGTTGCGGAAAACGAGGACGCGTGGCTCAGCAGTAGCAAAATCGGCGCACGTCACGGAGTCTCCCACCTAAAATCTCCCTAAAAAATGCCCAAAATCTCCTATATGGTAGAAGCGGTATCACTTTCTGTCTCCTCCCAGCGCCTCTCTCTATCTCTCTCTCTCTCTCTCTCTCCTCTCTCTATCTCTCTCTTCAACTCTCTCACTCTCTCTCTCACATCTCTCTCTCTAACGCCTTCTTCATTTCGCTTCCCACTCTCTCTCTCTCTTAATTAAACTTTATCAAAAAACTAGAGCTTTGTCCATTATCCTCGATAAACTTTGTGAGTATCCCGAAGGCAAATGATCGCTCGGGCCGAAAATTCGGATGCAGGAGGGGCTTGCTACAAAAGGTAGTGTCTACCTGGGTAATCGACTGGGATACCTGATCGCCCTCCCAATACTTGCGCACGACTCCGTAAAAGGGTCGAACGCGGTTGAAGTACACGTCTGAAACGTAAGTCCGTATACTCAATAGTAAATTTGAGAGACCCAGGGAGCAAGAGAAAGAGAGAGAGAGAGAGAGAAAGGGAGAGAGAGCTGAGCAGAGCGAGAGAAAGGGAGAGAGAAAAAAAAATCCGGTGTGATTCCGACCCTGTAACCTACATGGTGCCAAATCAGCCAACGAGTCGACTTGAGCCCTTTCCCACTCCGGAATTCCCGGCAAAACCTATAAATTTAGGGTATTTTTAGGATTACTTCACCTATTGTTTTTAGTTAGTATACTTTTAATTTTTTTTGTCCTCACCATATCGATTAGCGACAAATCGATTGATGGTATTCGACTCGGCCAGCACCTTCCCATCAACTCAAGCGACCGGCGATGCCCAAAGACGGAACGGATGGGCTGAAAAAGGCAGTTTTGAAACCGAGCGGTTTCGTCGCGGTCACCGGACTGCGGAATTCGATAGCGTAATCGAAAAACCCACAGCCCCCTTCAACTTTGGCGAATCCTTGAAGGCGAATCGCCGATCGGTGTAGGGCACGTTGGCCAGGGCGAACATCATCCGCGTCGGTTCCCTTCGTCCGCAGCAGTCAAAGTAGTGGAGTGTGTACGCTACCATACTACTAAACGGTAGCATGGTAGCTAACGCCACGGCATGAGATAGTCGATTTGGAACGAGTTCTGGGACTGGACTGGTAGCGGGGGGGCCTATTTATCTCCCATTAATCCATTATAGCCCTATAAAAATAAATCATTTTTATCGAATTTTGGGCAGTTTTTCGAAGACTTATAGTTTGAAGTGTTAAACAGTCCATAGAAAATTATCCATAATTTATTTGCGAAAATTTTGAGTTTTTGTTGAAAAATCGTGTATTTTGGGAATTTTCACAAAATTGAAACATTTTAATGAATTCCCTAAAAATTAAAGACTATTAAGAGAGTTATAAAAAATTCATTAGTAATTTCTAACCGCTGAATGTATAGGCAATAAAATTCTAAAAATGCACTCCCCCGGCTAACAGTCCAGTACCGCGGATTTCCCTGCCAGACTTTGCATAAAAGTACCGAAAATCGAGCAAAATACTAAACAAACAAACCAATTGAATGAAAACCGGAAAAACATCCTATTCTAGAGCTTTCGATAGGTACCGAGATCGTAAAATCGGACCCTCCTACGAGGGAGGGGATGTGTTTTAGATAATCCCTTGAGATTTCTCAAGAAACCTGTCGAACAGTGTACAGTATCCGATGGAGTTTATTACCTAAAATACAGAAGTCAACACAGCAAAATCCGAGAAAAAACAACACACAGCGCCTGGGAGCGCAAGCTTGATATGGACTGATTCTCGGAGGTGGTAGAGGAGATACAGGGTGATAAGGGAGTGGTCAAGACGGAAAAGGAGACGACAGGAATGGGAAAGGGCACAAAATAGGCTAATAGATAAATGGGATCTGCACACTGTTGACGTTGAATGTAGCCTAAGCTCAGCTTGGCTTGCGGGATTATGTTTCGGGCTTATACGCAGCTTGCTTGGAAGCTTAGGTCTAGGCGAGATCCTTGGTGGAGCAACGAACTCGTACTCTCGTGACGCGCCAGCCGATTCCACAGCGCTACCATGACGGCCAGTGGGACGGCACACCTAAAGACAAAAATAGTGACGCTTATTTTGAAAAATATTGATTTTATTTTATTTATTTGCTAGTAAAAACATCTAAATAAAACTAAAAAATGAGATTCTATGACCCACCAGAAACCATCGGGCCACCCAGAAGACGATAAATTCCGTGAGCCACCCAGTTCCGGGTCTGATGTATTCACGCGTGTGCACTGAAAATCGCGATTTTGGGACTGGAGACGGACACCACGTGCGACTCAGCTGGGCCGTCTGTGTAGTTTTTGCTTTTTGATAAGGCTAAGAAGGCTGGGGGCGGCTTCCGGCTGCGAACTTTAAAGTGATGCCCAAGCCCCAACTCCTATAGACGCACGCTACCCAATTTTTATCACCCGGTTTTTTGGCTGCTGTGAGTGGCGGTGTGGGCCTAGTGAAGGAATGCCGTCGATTATAACCCTTCATGGTCCGCTTTAAAGGGGCCGGTTAAGTTACAAAATGAACTGTCCAGAGCCGCGCCACGCAACGTGCAAAACGGATACGATACGGATACAGGAACGGAATTTAAAAAGCGCTGTAATCAATTACGTAATGGAAAGAGAACGTGTGCGTAGCGTGTCCTGGGCACGCCGAGGTTCGTTGGAAATCCATGAGCTAAGAAATCCAAGATCCATCCTTGCAAGTCCCTTTACAAGAAGGTCAACTCAAACTAAGCATGTGCGTTTCCCCGTAAGCCATTCGGCTTCAGCTTGGAAAACAGCAACTTGAAAAAATAATTTTTTCTACCTTCCGACTGTCGAATGTACAGCACCATATACCAGAACGTCTTCCAGAAGACGAACGCCGACGTGGTGAAGGCGAGCAGGACCGTATGGCGGGATTCACGCCGAGCCTAAAAATGTTT